CTTCAGGCAAATCTGCAAGGCATTTTGTTTAGTACAGCGCAAGATATTTTATATTCTTATGATTCTTGTAAGAGTTATTTGACACCTCGAGAAGCTAGTCTTATGATTTTATATCCGTTTCAGAAATGATGCAGATTCAATGTTTTATCAAAGTCAAACTAACTTAATTTTGACTAAGTTTACGTAAAAAAAATAAAATTCATGTGGAGCAGTTTCTCTTAAAAGAGCTCTGACTCTAGCTCCTCATGTGGAGTAGTTTCTCTAGTAGAGCTGAAGTCTTTTTAAAAAAAACATTTGACAGTTTTATAATAATTTGTATTAGGTTTGTAATGAGCAGCCAAAAAAGCCACTTTTTTCAGCTCCAACTCGCCTAAGCTCATTGCAAATAACCTTTTCTTAGAGGGTCATTTAGTAGGGCTCCTTAGTAGGAGCTGTGAGAAGCCACAACCGAAGCCTTGCCAAATGAAACCAAAGTATTACTCTAGAGTTACTTTTTTTGGGGGTCGGGGGAATAATAGCTCTACTAATATCTCTAGTTGCATGAGTAGCTCATCAATTGTACATAAAGGAGTTCTAATTTGCAGTTGTTTAGAAAATCTGTTGTACAAGAACAACTGGATGAGTTATTTTTAAAGAGCCTGAGAATTGTGCAAGGATGTAAGACAGCCGTCACGGAAAAAGCTAGGAATTATGAAAGGAATTAGTTCAAGCGGGAGCCTTTTGGCGCACAGGCAACTGTTCCACTAAATAGAATGGGAAATCAGCTCATGGCATATGACTTTTTGTGAAATTAAAACACTGCAAAATGCATTATTCAGTTTTAGTAGGGATTCCGTACAAAAAAAGTGCAAACTGGAATATCCCCAGTGACATGCATGTGTTATTTACTGCGTCCATAGACCATAGCATGTTCTAGAATTTCTAAGTTAATATGCATCTAATAAAGTCATTGCTGATACTGTAGGTATATCCTTTAACCTTGCACACACACACACACACACACACACACACATATATATATATATATATACTGTAAATTCTCAAAAGAGTATAAACCCGTAGCCGTAGGACTGAACCGAGGCCGAGCCGCCGAGAGGCACGTCTGAGAGCTGATGAAACCGTGGGGGTGTGCGCGTAGCCGCGTCGGCAGGCAAGGCACTGAAGCCGTGCCTGAGCTGGCAGCTAATTTATGGCCCTCCACCTCTACACCGCATGAATTCGCCAGCGGTCTGCGCTGCAGCGAACCCACGCGGCCGCTCTGCTGACTGCACAGCGTCCGCAGGCGCAGGTTGCGTCGGCTCCAGTCCACCACACCTCCCACTCCCATTCCACAGCGTGCAGCGGCGCAGGTGATCTGTTCCCAAACCAACGTTTATTTAGAGAAAAAAGGATGATCCTGTACTCTACACCCGCTGTCCCGCACGTTATAATCCAGCCTGATCAGCAAAAAGGAAGACATCATAGTCCAGGCTTGAGGCTAGTTAATTTACGTCTCCAGTGCAGCGTCTTCCTTGCCCGTGCACCGTAGCCCACCTATTGTCGGTATACTAGCTCGGGGCACGTCAACAACTAATCATCCGAGCAGATATGGTCTGATCGGACTGGAAACATGCCACGGTCCCAATCTCAAATAAAGATGCCAAAAAGACGATCGGCCGTGGTGTGTGTCCAGCACAGCTCTCCTTACCATTTCGCCCGTCACGTTGCCATCGCGCTGCCAGCCAAGGCCGCAGCCCTTCCTCTCAAGTCCCTTCCATGGACGGCCACTTGCCGGTCGATGCGCTCGCGGGCACGCCGCACGCACGCCCACGGCGTCGGCGCGTGACAGCTGACACGGCGCTGCCTGCCATGGACGGGGCACGTAATACTCCACCAGTCCCACCTGCTCTGCTCATCATCAGCTTCAGCGCGGCGGGCCGCGCTCGCCCGATCGCATCGGGTGGCCTGCCCCCGCGATCATTCACGCTTACTCCTACTGCGGGCCGCCGTACGTTAGTGCGATCTCGCAGCTGGATGGATCGTGGCGCAGCGTGCGTGCCAGGCAGCAGTCAACTCCGGGGATAAGTATGCCGGATGCCTCTTGTTTTTGCCTTTTCCGGACCTGAGCCCGGACCCCGGAGGCGTGCTGGCACGCTGTAAAATCCGTGGACGGTCAAGATGTGACGTAGTGGATCGTACGCGTATTTCTTTCTCCGAATCTCTGAAAAGAAATGCTGGCTCCTCCGATCCGGACATTTCACATTCACAAGGAAGAAAAAAGTCAATGCAAGCAGAGAGAAATTTACAGTGGCAGTAATAAGCACCGAGCAAAGAAGCGTGCCAGGCCAGCCAAGGGCGGGTCTCTTTCCCGTTTCCGTTACGATTATTTCGCTGGCCACATATTCATGATCACTTCTCTTTCACAAAAGGATTGGCCAAAGGGAAAAAGGGTAGCAAGCAAACGCGCAGGCCCACACGGTTCTTTCGCGGCCAAAGTTGACGGTGAACCGCATCGATCGATGGCTCCTTTTCCCGCCTCGCTCTGCAGATCGATCAGAAGGTGGCATGTTATTGTTGCTTTCGTTGGCGAATGGCGATCAAGCTGATCATCGCAAATGGAGGTCGACGCAGCCTTTGTTATGCTGGTAGTTAGTCTTGCGGCTGAATTTTCACGCCCTTTTTTCCGTCTTGCTGGAAAGCGTCATGCATATGCTTTCTGCCAACGTCGTCGTCGTCGGTCGTAGCACTAGCACCAGTGGCTTACCAGTAGGACGTTGGTATCACGGTTGGCTAAACCTCAGATGGCTGGCTGGGAAGCATGAGCTACCGGCCGGGCCTGCTTCAGTTCGTGCTTATGGATGCATGGGAATGTAGCTTGAAGCATCCAGACACATAAAAAATTTGTACACCCTTTCTTTTCTTTTTATAATGTTCTTGTGCTTTTTGCAGAGCTGCAGTTGATCTGCCTAGCTAGCTTGCCGCCAAGGTACAAAAACTCACGTGCGCTGTCACGCGTAGCAAGCTTGCGGCTGGAGTTTTGCATGGTTCCATTCCAAGCATAGAGAGAAGAAAAACGCGAGGTCGAGAGATCTGAGAGGATCGATCTGTGCCTGTGCTTGCTCAGTCGGCATCATGTGCCACTTGTTCGTCGTGGTGGTTTTCAGGCTTTCAGCTCACCCGGCCCCCTGTCTGTCGGAGAAGAGAAGAGAACATTGCATTGAAGACTTGCAGTGTTCCGGGACCGGTTAAAAACTGCAGAACGAAACTTCCTTTCTGTCTGAAAACCTAGTGGTGGCATGGCAATGCATGATGGGTAACCTGCCGTTGCCGAAACCTTATGATTAAATGCTTCCCAGTTGTAAAGGTGAATGGTGGTTGGAATTAGTGTACTGTGTACATTCTGAAGAGAAATTTTCTGTACTGTTACGAGTTAGCTTCTGCCAGGCTGAAAAGGTTAAAAATTGGAGCAGAGGGACGGGTAGCTAGCCGATTGAAGTTGTAAAGTACTAACAACACGAATTGGTCCTTCCTAGCTTCCTTCTGCCAGTAAAATCAATCCTTGCTAAGTTCGTGACTGTAGTTTCCAAAATTTTACAAATTTTTTTAAGATTTTTCGTCGTATCGAATCTTTGACGCATGCACAAAGCATTAAATATAAATAAAAAATAAAAGTAATTACACAGTTTAGACGAAATTCACGAGATGAATCTTTTAAGCCTAATTAGACTATGATCGGACACTAATTGCCAAATAACAACGAAAGTGCTACAGTACAATTTTCTAAAAAAATTCGTCAACTAAACAAGGCCTTCGTATGCATCGCTTTAACTGCAAGGGAACTGGGAAAAGCTTGCCTTTTGTGTGACGTGTGAATGAACAGTGTTAGTAGTCAAGAAGCTGTGTGCTGGAACAGTAGCTCGGAAAAAAGCGTGTAGTGGTAGATGGTACTCTTTGTTAAAGAGAGAAATTTAGAGTTGAGCAGTGATGAGCTGGTGGTGCAGGAGACTGGGCTTAGAAGGTATGGCACTATGTCTCCATTCGCTGAAAAAATAAGTCGAAACATTATTTCGGCTGATTTATTATGAGAGAAAAATACTGTTTCGGTTGAAAAAACAAATTGAAAAGTACGGATTATAAGAGAAACGAACATGACAGTATGGCAGGCGCAGGAAAGACGAAAGAGTATGGGATTCTTGTGAGCCGTTGCGGTTGCAATGTTCCCAAGAAGGGTAAGATGTTCATTGCAAGATGGCGATTACACTTAACTCTGGCATTTCTTTGAAAATGAAGTTTCTAGCTCACTTATGAAGCTAACCATGTTTCCGTGAGAGGACAATGTGCCATACTGTCATCGCCCATCGACGCAATCCGCTGCAAAGTCTCGCGAGAAACGCTAAGCACAGAGACCGACTGATCGAGACTCGGCCGCTGAATTCAACATGGTCGGTTAGGTGCGGCGTCGCGGGCAGTCAGGGCGCTCTCTCGTACGAATCCGTGCCGTCTGTTTCACTTTCGTCACATTTGATTGAAACGCAACACGGAAGAACGGTGCATTGGATGGGGTGGCGATCAGGGGATTTTGGCCCTTAGCACGTCCATAGCCGCGCATCATTAGACACGACTTTTTGTTCGTGGTATATCGTCGTGGATAGTGTTTGTGACACGGGGACAGGAATATGATGCTTCCCTGCTGTGGACAGTGACGGCAATTGACAGGCACCACAATCGCACTACGAAGCAAACATATAAAAGAGAGAGAGAAAAAAAAAACAGATAACGTTTTAGAGGAAAGCGTGTCAATTTGAACCATTTAGGCCCATTTCAGTCCAAGGCCTAATACAGATGTGGCTGTTTTCAGGCCGAGGCCCATATTCTCATTTGCTGGGTCAACTTCGTCGTCCTCTCTGCGGCCCACAGACAAGGACACGGTGTTGACTATCTCATCGAGTCTGTTGACACTGCCAAGGCGGCCGGGCCGAGGCTTTCAAGCGCCGATCCCTCTCCCAACGCCGGAGGAGGAGATGGCCGTGCCGGCGCCCGCGAAGGTGGCGCGCTTGCTCGCGGCCTCTGCGGCGGTGCTCGTGCTGCTGTGGTGTGTCTATTTTCGCGGTGGGCTCTCGCTCGGCTCCCCCACTAACAAGGGCCTCATCTTCAACGTAAGACTCTTTTCTCTGCCGTTTCTTCCCGTGGACATAGGCAGGTAGCATTCGATTTCATGGCTGTAGAGGTCCCCGGGTCCTTGGTTTGGTTGGAATCTGATTGCCGTGAACCCATTCCCGCGTGGCGAACGGGGATCTGCTGTGGTCATACTCTTTTGGGTTCAACTACCACGGCGGAGATCGACCGGTATTAATGCCACATGGCGATTCATGGCTGCTTAGTTGCTTTTCTGTAACTTGCTAGGCTGTGCTGTGCTGTAATTACTGCTTGCTTGGCTCTAGTGGCCCTGGCCTATGGCAATCTAGCGTTGTAGTGTGCTCTCGTAGGTTTCAGGTGTTTGGAATCTAGATGTTATGTTTCACCATTTTACCTTGCATTACTGCTCTCTTGTTATTTGCTAGCCTAACCCAGGGAGGACATGTTTAAGTTGTGACATCCAATTGAAACGCTGAATTTGTTTCGCTTGTTATCCTAACCTATAATAATTTGGTCAATTTAAATTTGCTTATATGTTTAAGAGTAATGATCTGCATATTTTAAATATGACCAATTTCATTAATTTGAGATCGTTTGTCAGACTACAATAGGAATTTGTTAAGACTAGCAATCTGTCTATATCCCTATAGCTTCGGAGTTTTCATCACCAACATGAATGTGATAGGCTGACATCTAATTTATTGTTCTTATTTAGCCATATGTTCTTGAATCCAGAACTAGTATATCAGGGTACATTGCGATGAGAATTGGAGCTTAAGCCCTTCAAAGTTACAACTCTACGGTAAAAAAATCTCATAGACTTTATGAGGCCTGACGTTGTATAAATGTATATCGATTAGGATTTCCATCCAGCATTGTCAAGTTCCTTAGGTCTCTTTTTAACCAAAGTTTGTTACCTACTTTTATTGAAAGCATATGATTTGTTTTAAAACAAAACTGCTGGGGGTACCAGCTTTCAGTAAAGTAACAGAGCACTTGAACAAAATATAACTGGAGCTAGAAAATGTACAGAGGGGGAGCCAGCTAGTAATCATATTCTAAATATAAGAGGTCATATATTAATTGCCAATTATTTTAGCTTGAAAAAAAAATATGTACATTAGAGTTTAGATGAAGCATGAGGGGGGCATGAATCCTGAGATCCAGAGTGTTTTCCAGGACAGCATGGAGCAAGGAAAGCTCTAATTGAGGGCCGGTGTGCCGTAGCACTTTGTCAATTAGGGCAGCAGTAAATTATTAGGCTGAGCTGTTTTACCTTCACAAAAAACCAATGCATGGATCCGCATTGTAATTACTCTGTTTTGTACCTTTGCTACAATGACGCTGGGGCGCTCCTCGTCTTCGGTGCTGATGCATAAGTGAATTATTTTGTACAGAATCTCAGTCACGGAGTTTTAAATTTTATTTTCTGTCACCATCTTGCTGACACCCCAGATTACCCAAATCAGTTACTGCCAACGAAAGAAAAACCTAGATCATTTTCTTCTCATCAATAGGAAGCCAAGAAACCAGAAATCATTCACTGACATGGGGAATCCCTAGTTTTAATTTCAACAAAAAGGATCCTTAGACGCGTATGGTGTCATGGCTTGCCTCCCCCCACCCTGAAGGATAAGGTTCTATTTAAAATGTCCTAATTCCTAATGTAATAAGCCAGGTCTGTGCAGGTGCATCCTGTGCTTATGCTAATAGGATTCATCATCCTAGGGAGCGAAGGTATAGTACAAGTCCTTTTTTATTTACACGATGGTCTTGCCATCATGTGGCAGCATTGAACATTTGTGACCAAGCTGTTGCATTTGTCTGCAGCCATAATGGGCTACAAAATATGGCCATGGAGTCATGATGCAAACAAGATGGTTCACATGCTTCTTCATGCTGTTGCACTCTTCCTGGGTTCTGTTGGGATATATGCTGCCTTCAAGTTCCACAATGAAAGTGGAATTGATAATCTCTACAGCTTGCATTCGTGGGTTGGACTTGGAACTATCTGCCTGTACGGTATACAGGTGATGCACACAAACCCTTTTTATTTTTGTAACATTGTGAGCTATGAGGATCATAAAAAAAAAACTTTTGGCATGTGTAACAATGCAAGTATGATTGACATACTGCTTTATTCATGAGAATAGTGCTTTTTCCAGGTGCAAGCCTTGCACTGCTATAGTGCTATCTGAGTATTTGTCAGAATAAATTGTTCAAACTTTGCAATGGAAATATTATATGAGAATGAAATATATATGGTCATCCTAACTTCTAGCATGGCAATGTGGGCTGCAAACCAAACATCTAGAAATTGAACTCCTTTCCTTTCAGCTGAGCTTTGTAAGCATGCAGTGTTCTGTCCTCGTTCACAAAGGGTGATGTTTTTTGTTTGGTATAGGGCAGTAATTGATTTGCTGCTATTATTTTTTAGGAGAATTTTGCTGCTATTATTATTTGTAAGACATTTATTTATATATACAAAGCCCATTTCAGAATAAACTTGAGCCTTAATGCATTGATTTCATATTTCAGTGGCTACTTGGTGTTACAACCTTCTTCTTCCCTGGTGCTTTGCCAACAGTCCGGCGCAGAATGCTCCCATGGCACATTCGCGCTGGGCTTGTTGTCTACATACTGGCACTGCTTACTGCAGAGCTGGGTTTCCTGGAGAAGCTCACCTTCCTTCAGGCTGCCGGCCTTGGCAGGTACAGCTCGGAAGCTCTGCTGGTGAACTTCACAGCTCTTCTGATCCTACTGCTCGGCGCTTCTGTTGTTCTGTATGTCACCGCTCCAACGCACAACGAGCACACGCAGGGGTATTCAGCAGTGCACAAGCCCTGAACCACTGATACAGCCTCATCTGTTCCAGATTTCCAGTCGGTGTATCCTTGTATGAGTAAGAATTAAATCCAATCAAATTTTGTCCGCCCGAATTATGGAGACCCTTAATAACTAGTTCAGTTTAGTGGCGTGTAAATGTGTAATACTGTAAAATGCATTTCCCTCTTAACAATAGGACGAATACAAAGATCTACAGTGACCTCTTTGGGCCTCTGCCTGTTCCATTCTACCGATCTGCCAATAAAGCCTAGCGAAGAGAAGTACACGGTGACCTGATTTGCTGAAGTTTGTCCTAAATCAGATACGAATCCCTTACGATGATTACTAACTGAAATCTTCCACTAGCACATCCCAAACCAAATGATCCATGAGATTTTACTACATGTGATGGGATAAGGCTCACGACGAAGATGATCGCGTCCTCGACGCGCCCGGCAGAGCGTACGGCGTTGATCTGGCCTTCAATCTGCAAAGGAACCCTAAATTTGCTTTTAAACTACCCATGTTTTTCATTCTAAAAAACATGATAACTAATGCATTTAATTATTATTTAAATTACCCACAGGTCACATCTGCTATTATAGAAAGTAAACTAAAATAAGTTCAAATTTTCTAACTACAAATATAAGCTATCATAAAAGATAATTCAATACCCACAAAATACGTTATATGTATATTTCTAAATTGCACACTACTTCTAACACAGTTAAATTAAACTAATGATATATGTTATGTGCTACCATGTAGACCAAATAAACATGCACATATTAGGATAAATATTTGTTTTAACACTTTTATCAAATGTGAAAAAAGCTTTGTTTGATAAACCACATACCAACGATACTAACAATTTAATTAAGTTATATTAATACTCCAAGATAATAAATATTGTAAGATGTTACTTTAGCTAGGTTTATACATTTTGATGCATTATGTCATATGTAACTTAGTTTTGAGCATTCTATGTTTCGTAAAGCAATACTACTACACATGTGATTCTTCGGTATAGCAAATTCAACATCTTGAGTGTCGTGGTGTCGGTTAAAATGACTATTTATGCCATTGTAGTAATTATTAGTGGAGCCTAGGGAAAAATCTATTTTTAAATAAAATACAAAAAATATAAATAAAGATGTAATAAGCAATGAAGTTCCAACTTAACATATGGGTAAAAGTATACAAGAACTAATAAGATTAAAAGCTGAAAGTCAAAATATAGATTCATCATGTCACATAAATTAATGCAACAAAGCTGATATAACTTATACTCAAGTTTCAACTAAATACACATAAAAAATCCACAAAGGTGTAATACAAAGGATGACAACATATCTTAACACTACTAACGGGAGATCCTCAGAGCCTTCACCTTCGCAAGATTCATTAGAAAAAAGAGACACAACAATGTTCATAATAATTAGAAACATCTAGTCATTAATTTGATTTACTTTAAACGCCACAGAGAATTGCCCTTGAATCAATTCCATCTAAAAAATTTTCACACTTCTTCCACTATGAAAAGACATAAATAGCCCCCTAATCTACAACTGAACCACCAACCTTTATCATTATGTAAGATAATTTAAAGTAATCTTTAAATTTGCTTTTAGATTATCCACCTCTATCATCAAGAAAGATAATCTAAAGTAGAACGTTTAGTTTACATCTAAATTATCCATTTTTATGTTATAAAACATAATACTAAAAATATCCCTCAAACCTACATATAATTATCAATATAAGCTACTATTTGAAAAGTATTAAATAACCATAAAGAGGTGTGTATATATATGTTTCTAGATTACTCGGTTTTATCTAAACTTAAGTGTTATGTGTCACCATGCATGCCAAGTTTACATATGCATATATTAGCAGTAAATATATATTTATATAGTTTATTTATCACCATTGCAATGCAAGGACAATGAGAGTTCATTTTAAGCTATATTAAAACTCTATCTTTGTGACATTAAATTTTGAGTGTTATTTCTTTATATAAGTTTATACATGACTATACATCAACATTGGTAGTCCGACGGTAAGCACTTTATTTTTTTTATACAAATCAATAATACAACACATGTAATTCTTTGATAGAGTAAATTTAACATCTCTGGTGCTGTCATACAAGCTGAAACAACTGTTTATTCTATAGTGGATGAAGGTACAATAA